TCTCCGGGATATGCTGCATTCGGCCGCTGCCCCCCCGGTTCGGCAGCTTGCCGAAGATATTTTGTTGATTAAGGTTTGGATCTGAGCCGTTATCTGCGGGGGGACCTAAGCTTCCCATGTCGGGATCAGGCTCAGCAAGGTACCGGGGAGCGCTGAAGACGCAAGGGTGGCCCGGGTCCGTGGGTGCCCTAACCCAAATCCATTGACCTCTCCAGTCCTTGTCTGAAGAGTCGTTCGGCCACATGGTTAAGTACTGGGGCCGAGACTCAATCCGGTACCACCCAGAACCATGACTTCCGTGCCCACTTTGAATATTTGGCACTAGCCGATGAAGCTTTTTGAAGCAGTGCAGGTTCGGCACATACTTGAAGAACTTGCAGACCCATAAGTATGTCATCACCCTTCGGATGCTAGTAGGAGTTAGCTGACATAGGGAAATATTGTAATGGATCAGCAAGTCTCGAACGAATACGTCCAAAGGGAACCTCAGCCCATACTGAAGTTGTCTTGTGTACACCCCCACATACCCCGGGGGTGGACGATGGATTCTATCGGATGCCACGGGCATTCGGGACCAATACCGATCAGCTTCAAGGATGTCGTAATGCAACTCAATTTGCTCGGCAAACCGATACTGTTCGGCATTCTCCACCCACCATGAGTAGGGGCGGTTCTTTATCATGGCCGAAGCTACTTCGGCATCCTCCCACTCTGAAAACCCGGGGAGGATATCCCAAAGGACAGCGGGAACTTCATCGTCCCGCCCAGAAGCGCTTGGCCCCTCCGTTCTCTGAGGAGGAGCCGAGGAAATTGGAGTCGCCCTGATCCCTTCAGCAGGGTCAGACTCTGGTCTTTGTCCATTCCAGGTCCCAATCCTGTTCCTAGGATCGGGAATTGGCCTTGCTCTTCTTGGAGCACGGGCTCTACCCCTAACTCCTCTCGCCATTGATAATTTCGAAGAAAAAAGTCGAAAAAAAGGGAAGGAGTTCGAATTCGAAGAAAAATAAACTAAAATCAAAGGAATTTACCTTAATCTGAAGCGAAAGTTGCCGATTTACGAATTCGTAGTGGCAAGTCTCAGTTTCTAAGCTTAATGCTCGGGGAATTTGCGAAGTTTTGATGCGGGTTCTTGGGTTCTCACGAGAATTCTGGGTTTGTGTTGGTGAATAAGTGAGGAGAGATGACGCGCCTCTGATTATATCTCCAGAAATGGGAATACGGGGAGTCCGCGTTTCAATTTCTCTTAAATACCCCACTAAGTAACCGTTAAACACACGACCTTGCGATTAAACTGCCCATTATCCGTTCAACTTCCACAATCATTCGCCTTAACCGTTGTTATCTCATTAATTACGGTTTAAATTCAAATTTTTGGATTAATTAAATCATTCACTTCCCTCCTTTTCTGATTAAATCAAACCCGACCCGTCATCCTTCCAAATCGGGTCTGGGGGGCAAGTTGTTTGGGTCCAATTTAGTCCAATTGGGCTTAGGCATTAAATGATCCAATTAAAAGCCCAAGGTCAAGGTTCATCTCTCCAATTGTGCTAAAGTCAAAGATCAGTCCTCAAGGCAAGCCAATTGGGCTAAGGCCCAACTTCTCCATGTATGAAGAGGTATAAAAGCCATCAATATTACATTTGTACATTCATTCAAGCAAAGCCTCAAGCAATTAATTCTCTTGCATAGTGTTCTCTTTCTACACACTGTACTGACTTGAGCATCGGAGGGGCCTTCCTCGGCAACACCCCCGAGGCTAGTTTACGTGTGTTTACTGTGCAGGAAACCTTCGGCCCAACATTTCTTGGATTGAATCTAGTCTTCTCCACTTCATCGGACCTTCGGCAAGGTCCCATTGTTTTCACCCGAAACAATATGATTAGAAGTTTAATGCACTAATAGTATAATTTAATAGCTAGTTAGGGGAAAAAAAGTCTTTATATAGTGTTAAAAAATAAAAGTCTATACACAATAAGCCAAGCTTTTGAAATTTCCCTCTTATCCTTATTTGTAATTTACACAATAAGTCAGTATTCGAAATTTCTCTCCTATATATCCTTATTTGTAATTTGTAATGCTTGTTATTTATTCGTACCAAATTGGAGATAAATAATAGAGAAACCATAATTTACTTATATATCAGTAATATATATATATATATATATATATATATATATATATATATATATATATATATATATATATTATGGTGCGAACATCAGTAACGTATATGATTGAACAATATATATATAATTATATAAGTATGCCTTTTTGCATTATGCAAGATACCCCTTTATATAATTGAACAAAATACATATGTAACACATATAATAAAAATGCAATTACAATATGTAATCAACTCATCCATCAATAATAAAATGAAAATGATATAAAGAAGGAACAGAAGAGTAGTAACAAGTCAATTTAGTACTAGCGATTTAGGCCTACAATGCAACCATCAACAGTCTATTTTTGTGAGCTTGACAAACGCTCTCTTTCATATAATTTTTTTTTTCTCTAAGAAAAATTGATGAAATTTGACAATTCAGAATGGATGAATTAATTACTGCTAATTATGAATTTGGAGTCCCTGAAAAAAAAATTCCTCTAAAATAAATAAAATTCAAAATTAATAAAGTCCCTTAGAATAAATTTGCGTCGTCTATGAATTGATGTTGATATATTTGTTAACATTTTAGTCTTTTTTAATCAAAATATTAGTTTCATTTTCATTTTAGTTTGTCTCATTTGTTATCCCTATCATATGATACAAGTATAAGGATTAAGGAGTACATTCTTGACTTAGTATACATAATGTACCCAATAGGTAGATTACCTCCTTATCTTGCTATGCTCCCCATTCTTACAAGGAGCATTTATGTGTTTTTTTTTTTCCCTTATTCTTTTTGGGAGATATTTTTGCATGCTTTACCTACTTTAACTTAATATTTATTGACCCTTGTTGAGAAATAAATTGACAAAGACATTTTCACATCACGAGGTGAAGAATGTTTAGTGGCCTTATATGGGCTCATGTCGACCATGTTGTGTTTAATATTCAATCTGTCCGTTTCACAATAATCAACCCATTGTCTTAGAGATCGAACAGTAAGTTAAGATTACAAAATGAGTTGTTTTGATATAATTAGTTTATACCATTAAAAAACGAGGACATATATGTGAGTGTGGGAAAAGTTAGTGGATTATGTGAGTATTATTCTACGCATGTGTGGTAAAAACTCCTTATAATTTAAAAATGATGGTCTCTTGTCATTTATGATAGTATACCGATTATTATGAAATAAGGGGAGAGACTGAGAGAGGTTAAGTCATAGCTTTCACAAGGCTATCCTGCCTTTGCTAACTAAAAAGCTAAGCGACTCTAGTGTCGTCGGCGTGTATGGGTATAAATAGCTATAAAGGGTAATCAACGATATTCATGAGAATTTTAATCCCATGTCACTTTTTTATTGGAAAAAACCCTACAAAATAAAGTTAAAATAGGGGCATATAGTACGTGAAGTCATAAATTATTTACTTTATTTTTTGTATAATGGAGTAATTATTTTGATTAGTACTTCGTATATAATTATACTATATACATTAATACATGTACTTCCTAGTTACTTACTCTTTACTGAACCTCCACTTATAACTCTTTAACCCTTTATTTATAGATTTTAGTAAAATAAAAAAAATAATAAAAAATAAATAAATAAAAAATCGACCCTTTTTTTATTGTTAGTGCAATTGTAGATTAATACTCGGTAGTATTTGCTATAGCCAAATGGGGATTTGTAGATTAATGGCCTAGTTAGATTTTTTTTTTTTTTTTTTATTTATTAAATGCAAAATTTGAAAGTAATAATAATACTCGTAGTGTACACATACATATATCTTTTAAGCGACAAATCATATAAGTTAAGCCTTAGTGCGTGTTCGGCAAATTATAGCTGTGAAAGTAGCTTTTAGCTGTGTAGGTAGCTTTAAGCAGTCAACAAGCTGTAGCTATGAAAATAGAGCTTTCCTCTAAAAAATTCCCATACGAATTACTCCGTAGTATATTTCGTGTATCTTCTTGATGCTTTGTAAATGAAAGGTGCCATTATTAATTATTTGATACAAAAATCATATTTAACATATTTTGTGGGGAAGAATGATTAAATAAAACACACGCTGGCTTTAGTAACTTTCATAATCATTTTCAGAGGCCGAATTTGAGAGCCACTTTGGCTCGAAACAAGGAATTTTGATCCATTATTGGGCTACAACTTTAATGAACAATGTGGCTCATTGTACTATGTTTCCCTTGTTTTACAAGATTGTTCATTTCTAATCATTACTTTGAATCATAGTAGATGAAATTTTTTTTTTTTTTTTTTTTGAGGCAGATTACACTTTAGTTTATACTACTATATTATAAAGGTGAAAATAATCCATTCTTTCCATAATGGCTTGTCTATCTTCCTCGATTAGTCCTAATTTTGACCTATACGACTATAATTTATATCTTTTATGATAAAAATTTAAAAGTTTGAAACATAAGTACTACATAAGGCTAATTAAGTAATTTTTGTTGCTATTCAAAAAAAAAAAAGTAATTAGTGTATAGACTATCATTACCTTTGTCTCAAGATATATGGTAACCCATAATTAAAGTGGTGAATGATGAAAGGTTTTCTTAGGCCTTGAATTAGAGATGCGCACCTCCTCTCCCACTACTAATGGCTTTAATAGTCTATTTCGAGACTTTATTTACTAGTACTTTAATAACATGTTTATTTAAATTGTGTGTACTATGTAATAACGGGGTACATACTACATACTATATACTAGAAGAGAAAAAAAAAGAACCTTTTCTTATAAATTAAACATTACTGTAATTTATTTATGTGTCTTGTATGAAATTACTAATATAATAGAGAGTAAAGGATAGCTCAAATGGTTAGGATCGATTCTATCTCATCCCTGTCCTTTGTAACTTTCTAAACAGCAAAAAAAAAAAAAAAAAAAAAAAAAAAAAAAAAAAAAAAAATTACTAGTATGATAAATCACGAGTGTGCGTGATTAATTATGTATAAACAAAAACCCTTGCACTTTGGATAAGAATCACATAATAGAGGCCATATATATGTATTACGTAGTGAGATGGGGGTATATGTTACATCATCACTTGCTTGTTTGGCCTAAACAATTGCCTTGGGAGTTAGGAGTTGTCACAAGCTTTCTGTAGCTCGTGCATTAGAAGACAATACTACATATTAAAACTGATTTGATGGATGAATAGACTAATTTCGAAGCTATTAGCTCATACATGTAGGTGATCTGATTTATACATAAGAAAAAAAAAATTATTACAGAGTATATTCAAAATTTGATCAGCACAATTTTGACAATTAATATCGACACAAATTGCATTACTTGCTCGCATTGATGATTGTTTACATAGCATCCAGGTTCGTCATAATTAACCAATATAATGGAAGTAAGGAAACTCATATAGCCATGGTTGTTTAACATACACCTCGCTCTAGCTAGGCGGCTGCTTGCTGTATCTAGCAATTAAGCATGCTTCATGAAAAAACCATGATATATATAGTCAAAGAAAACATGAATACATAAATTTATCATAATAATAATCTAGAAAACTACAAGTTAACATCTATTGTACGTGATATAGAATAATAGATAGTGGTCCAAACAAATATATAAGGAGTAGTACATACATTATCAAGTAAGGAGCAAGAATATATATATGCTTCATGCACGAAATTATGATAATATAGAAGCAATAAGATAGAATGATGTGCAATAATTTATAATATGGTACAACTTGTGAATAAAATTGTGATCATATTTATATATAATGTCGAAGAATATTAATGTTAAATTATTGGCCTCAACTAAGACAAAAATATGAAAAGATATGTCTGCTTGCTCAATTGTTGTTGCTTCGAGACGTAATTAACTCATTTGTTACTCTTTATCAGTTATCACGGCTGCTTTAATTCACGGAGCTGATGAGGTACTACTAATTTATGTTTTTTTTTTTTTTTTTTTTTTTTTTGAGGCAAAATTTATGTGCTTATTAGACAAATTTTATGTACTTATTAGATACGAAGTACTTTGTATACACTAGTCAATTTATTCTATGCTATGCGTGTATGAATATTTTTTCTAAAAAAACTTGTACCATACAAGATTAAAAGTAACTTACGAAAAAATTTCAAAAGTTAGTATGAATAAAAAAAAAATTCATGACAAAAACACGCGTAAATCAGTGTTATTAGTGTTTATATTTTGATGATTTCTTAACTTTTTACGATTTTCAAGTGAAAATTTAATGCTTATATGTAGCCCTAAGGGCTATGTATAACATTTTCCTAAAAATAAATATAGTCAAGTTATTATGTATAAATGGATTTCGACGATATCTTATACAACTACTTGGTATCTTATACAACTACTTGGTATGTAAATAAAGATGTTTTCTATTTTGAGTACTAATAACCCTGAGAGTGATTAGCTTTTAGATATAGTAACATATACCATCGAGTAGTGAGAACAACTAAAGATCGAGAAAATAATACAGTACTGTGGGCCTGTTCTCTTCAGCTTAATTTCAGATCAGTTCAGTTCAGTTCCAATCATTTCGGCTCAGTTCAGTTCAGTTCAGCTCCTAATTTCCTTCTTTCATAAACAATTCAGTTCACTTCAGCTCTAATCAATTGAGTTCATTTCAATAAATTTAAACAGATTATGAAATACTATATACAAATATACATTCACCATTATTATTCTACTGAAAAAGTCAACCTTGAAGGTTTTTTATTAAAAAAAGGGTGGGAGAAGAGCAATTGGTCTATTTTCTTGGTGGTGTTATAAAATAGTGGTCCAAGACGTTATTATTTAGATCTCACATGGAAGGTCACCAAACCTTTGGGTTATGTCCCCTAAACATCAAATTATATGGGTACAAAATATCCCTTTACTTAGATACTTGGCAATTGGTATTTGTATTTTTATTACTTTAATACTTGCCCAAAAGCCCTACACCAATCCTGATTAATATATAATAGTAGTGTCAAGTACATAAGAACAACCTGTATTTGGTAACGAATTTTCTCCTCTAGTAAGGAGAGACAAAGAAAATACTTCGTATAGAGGTTACCGACTAAGATAAATGACACCTATGACTAAATGTTAGAAAAATATTTGTTGGAATTTTCGTTTCCAAAGAAAAGTTTGTGAGTTGGATTTAGGAATAAAATTCATACTGAATTTGTATTCAATTAGTCATCTTTGGCCTACATTATTGTTTAAGTAGGTTCCTTCTCAAGAAATTTAGGTAGGTTGTATATCCGACAAATAAATTATGCAAAAATTGATTAATTAGTAATGGTAGAGACTACTTCACTTCTATAGTTCTATTTAACAATCACAATAGTAACTTATGGTTCAAAATCTCAATTATGGTATTAGTTATTACCAACAATAGTCAATTTAACAATCACAATAGTATTGAATTATCTAATATAACCTTTAAAATGTAATTTATTTATCGATCATTCAATTGTTTCAACTATACACCATTTTACTACTACTCTGTGTACACTCTGTACTGTCTATATTATAAATTATAACAAGGGTAAATTTGTAGAATATTCCTTTATAACATAATACTTGGTAATATGTATGTATGATCACAATGTCGCAAAATAAGTAAAAGTCTAAAATTGAAGCAAAAATGATCCAAATAAATAACAAACATAGACACTATTCACAAACATTGAACATAAAAGATTTCCATGTAACAAAATAGTAATAATAATATAGTAGTAAAATTACCTTTTTGCCCCTAAGCTCAAGATTATTTCCCAACATCTAATTTAATTTAACCCGGACCGTTTTTTAACCAAACCGTAAGAAATTCTCCTAGGCTGCTCTCTTGGAAGAAAAACCAAAGACTCAGTAACAGAGCAACTATTTTTACATGACAAATTCACAAACCCAAATCTATGACTTAAATTCTTGGCAGGTTCTTTCCAAATGCTGCGATACACGTCTTTGTCGTCGTCGTTGTCGTTGTCGTTATAGTCGTCTTTCGAGCACTCGACTAGGGCAGCAAAGAAAGGATCTTTCCTACTAATAATGTGATGTTTTTTGTAACTTGATTTAGTAGTGCCTGAAACAGGGGCTGCTGCAGGAGGCAGGGGAAGATAATTCGATTTCCTCGAAGAATCGAGTCGTTTGATGATTTGGTGTTTAGGGATTCCTGGGATCGATTCCCATGAAAATGGGATTCTTTGAGGAGGTGTTGGAGTTGGAGGTGGAGAATCATCTTCTTCATGGGAGAAAGATCTAAAAGAAGAAGATGAATTTGATGAAACTGAAGGAGAAGAAGAAAGTGAAGGAGTTCTTCTTGAAGAAAAAGAAGAAGACCATTTTGGAGTTGTAAAAATGGTGGTTTTTGTGTTTATTGTGACATTTTTGTTGGGTGTTCTTGGCTCTAAGATTGAGCTCATTCTTTTATTAGAAATAATTTTTTTTTTTAATTTTGTGGATTTTTGAAGATAGAGAAATGAAATGTGGTTGTTTGATGTGGGTTTTAAATGGGATGCTCTGTTATTGTTGTTGGAAGTGGGGTTTTTGGAAGTAAAATGTTATAAATAGGAGATCAATTAAGAGCCTAATTTGCACTCAACTATGGGTCCATTGTGTTGAGGAAGGAAATTATTTGTATATGAAGTTAATGGGCCCATTTTGCTCTTCTTTTTGTCATTTGTGTGGTTTTTGTCTAGTTACAAAAAAGATTTGCCTTAATTGTTTGAGCAGTTTTTACATATTTTTACTGTTTAAAAATAATTGCAATATTTATTGAAATTTTTTTATGTTTACTAATTCTAGTGCATCACTTTAATCGTTGATATCTACAACTACGAAATATTGGTGAGATACGATTAAACGATAAATCTAATTTGGAACTTAGTTGGAGTGGATAAACTATTTTGCATACGAGATTTAAATAAATTGTTCCTTTTCTAGCGAGGCTACGACCTCCTTCCTAACGGAAAATCTATACTCCTTTGATTACCACTTAGGATAATAAGTTACAATGCAAGCTGCTAAATCCTATTCTCAACCTTGAAATGAGGTTAACCCACGGCTACCTATAGGATTAAGGGTCTGTTCACATTTACTGAACTGAACTGAAATGAACTGAGCTGAAATAAATATTTTATGAGAGAGGAAAATTAGGAGATAAATTGAACTGAAATTAAGTAAATGTGAACAAGCCCTAATAGGAGTGCATTGATGCTACTAAAACACTTCAATATCATCTTTAATACGAGTACAAAAAACTTTTGTAAGGATCGATTATCTTTTTTGTGCCCATTCACTTTCTTCTTGAACGTTTTATTGTATCTAATAGTTTTACTAGCGATATAGTGGTCAAATACGAAGTATTTTAGACAAGAGATTAGAAGTTCAAATCTTAACCTTAATTACTTTTGTCCAAGATTCATTATTAATTTAATTTGTAATGCACGTGTAATGAAAAATATTGATATTGATTACTGAGTACACATTTAATTTATATCCCCTTTACAGGCATCGAACAACATGATTAGTAGCGTATACGATGTTAACAACATCACTTAGGTTAAATGGTTATGTTATATAGCAAGTTAGCAACACATATACACTAGTTCATACGTACCATGAATGTTGACGTGAATAATACCATGAATGTTGACGTGAATAAAGAAGTATAGCTACCACAATTAAGACGTGAAAATTGATTGGAAAAAATTGTTGGAGAAAGAAAGAGACCTTTTTGGGCAAATTCAGATGGATATTCATATCGGCGGTGTGCGATCATAATGGGGAACATCAGAATATTTAGTTTTTATTCGCATTTAATTTAGGTGAAGGGTGAGTTATACTCTTTCTTTTCTTACTTACCAATTATTAAAGTCATACACTTGTTTCCTCCTAATCTAAAGTTTTTTTTTATACCTTCTCCCCGTGATACCAAAACTTTTATTTATTCTAAAGTGTATATATAATTCAACCTTTTATTTTTACATTATTGTGGTTGAGAAATCCAACTTATTAATGCGGAAAATTGAGAAAGGAAAAAAAAATTAAAAATTATGTCCTTTGACCTGACTCGTATGATTATAAGAAGCTTAAAGTAAATATTGATTGATTACGGGCTTGTTTACATTTATTTAATTTTAGTTCAGTTCAGTTTAGCTCCAATTAGTTCAGTTCAGCTCCTAATTTCCCTCTCTCATAAAATATTCATTTCAGCTCAGTATAGTTCAGCTCCAATCAGTTCAGTTTAGTTCAGGTTGTTCAGCAAATGTGAACAGACCCTACATCAAATTAAGTGTAACAAAGTTCTTTTTATGCAACCCCTGAATGGGTTGCAGACATCAATATGCATATATAAAACTCGATCTCTTAATATAAATTAAATATTTAACATTTACTATTCCGTAGTTTGTATCTTATTGTTGTGTAGAGATAAATTCCAAAAAACGGGGAGTTTAGAGAGTGCTTGGTTCCCTTTTGTGGGTAGACAAAGTATGGGAACTATAGATATCAATCGGCCGCGTTAAAACATTTATGGAAGATTTGATGCGAAGCTTCATACAAACCTCACAAACAACAATTCAGCAAGTACAGTTTCTCTATTCCAACATTTTAAGATTTGATGGTCTTTTATTTGTGTTTCGATGATTCTACCGTCGGTGACAATGTCTTTCTCTAAAAAGGTTGGCTTTTAAAAGGACAAAAGGACATTCTTTCTCTCAATCAACACCAATAACATATTTTCCAATATAATGATGCCTGCTGTACTGTTTATGTTTAGAAATATACTTCGTTTATGGGAATTATGCTTCATTTGTTGTTTATACATATAATTTGTGAAAAAATTGGTTTAAATAATTCCAACTTTAATCTATTTTCTTTAGATATCCTAATTTTTTATTATTATGAAATAACTCCAGAATAATCCGAAGTGTTATCTTTGTTGCTGATCGATCCATTGTATATAACCCAAAAAATAAAAAAGTTTAGATTATTTTAAGAAAATACCTATATAAGTTAGGATTATTCCAGAATAATCAAAAGTTGATATTATTTATAGAAAGTTGGTCAAAATTGAATTATTAAAACCAATTTTGCCTATAATTTAACAAATAAAAAATTAACAAGAACTCGATCTTCCTTCAGTTTGGGCATAAAAAGACCATGTGGCAAATAATTCCGATTAAAGTATTTCATATAACCTAAATACGAGTATATAGATATGATGAGAGATCAATTTTATTATTAAGCAATATTGTATACTATTGACTTTTACATAAATAATAGAGATGAGAGTCCATGAGACTAAAAGGTTATTATTACTATGATAAATATTAGATTTTTTTTTTTTTTAATAGAAACAAGTATATTTCCTGAACAAAAGAATTAATAAGGGAGGACAAAAAACATTGAAGAATAGCTTAGACAGGTAGAAAAAGATTGATAATCACGTGCAACAATACTCGTGAATTCGAAGATAATCTGAGATGATGAATTGAAGCACCCTACCCTTTTCCTCCATATTTAGAACTGCATGTGAAGCTGTGGTGGAACCCTTACTGTATTTTAATCTTGTACTCTTGTAGATCAGACTATTATATACTTCATCAACTTATAATAGAATGAATACTATCTTCTTATCAACTTGCCATTCAATATGTTCCCCAATTAATAATAATAAAATGTGATTTGAAATGTGTGTTTGTAAAAGGGAGTCGTATGACCAAAGATGTAAAAGGGAACCGATATTTTGATCCCAGGGTTTTGGTATCAATCCTCACGACTTTAAGCAACTAAGCTTGTTGACATTCGCTATTTTCAAATTTTTATAATTAAAAAATTACAAACCTCAATGTCTATGCGATAGCACATCTATAGATTATAATTTTTTTGAAAACTAGATTATATTTAATGGGAGCAAAATAAATATAATTAATTTTTATTGGGGTCACATATTCCATATTATGCGAAAATTTCCAAATAAAATCTCAAGTTTTATCCATTATATTTCCAAATTTACATAGTTAAATGGGTAAATTGACATCGTATAAGCGAAAGCATCAACTAATATTTGGTTTCTGTTTCACTTGTTAAATATAGTTTGTGTTATTTTCCCATTGGGCCATGTAAATATAAAAAAAAAAAGCTTGGTGGAGCAAATTGTGGGCTGAAATAATATTATTGGACCTCATTCATCAAACTGAATACGGCCCATTGATATTATAAGCTAAAACAATTTTGTTGGACCTCAATCACCTATCCATCAAATTGATTATGGCCCATTGATATTAGCAGCCTTTTTTTCAACTGATTAGAGTTTAGAGCACATCCACTTGACAAGTTCGCACCTTCAAATTTCACTTTCTGAGTTTATTTGTTCAACGACTTATTTATATCTGTTACATTACTACAAAGAAAAATATTGGCATTTGGCAAATACAACTTAAGGCTCAAGCATATAAGACAATTGTGAGCACATACTTACAACAATTACGCACTAACTCAATTTTTTTGGTTTAGTATTTATGTGCCAGATACTTAAAAGTGAGGGTGAAATCCAGAATAAGGGATCCTCAAACCCCCCCCCCCCCCTTCCCTCTTCCCCCAAAGTACCAAAACTAGCTGAGAGAATTAAATTTTGTGATCTCGAGGTTACAAAGTGATTTCCTCACCAATTACATTGACATGAATTTACTATTGTACAACCTATGAAGTAGACTACATATTCCTCATGCAATAGATTGTGCTGGTGCACTTAAAGCAAAGCTTGATTGCTAGCTGTAATATATAGTTAAGACAATAATTGTGACCTAATCTTCAACAAAAAATAGGGTTAAGGTCCTTAAGGACCTAAGCTTGTTTTGTTTGTTTATGATTGGCATATTATAAATATAAGCTTTTAAAAATAAATAAAAAAACACAAAATATGAATAGGAAGGATATACAATAGTTCATATCTTTAAAAAAAAAATGATAAAAAAAATTCCATTAAGACTATTATTTTTTGGTGCAAAATCCATTAAGATTATAGTAGTATATATATTTTGTACTATTAACTTCAATGTGATCCAGTTTAGCATCTTATAAATTTCAGGGTAGGAGTGGAGTTAACGGTCCAATGGATGCCTAACGCATCGTTAAGGTCAAATAACAACAACTTCCTCGTATAAAAAGCCTGCATCCTTCTCTAACAGTAAACGCCCATAACTAAAGTTGTAACCTTCGGTTGCATAGGAAAAGGGAAAAAAAAATATTTTTTATTAGATGATCTTACATGACTTAAATCCAATTAGGCCTAACAACCTAATTATTTTAACTATTTATGCTCAAAGATAATTACATTATTATTGATCGAAGTAATGTGTTGGAAATGTACGCAAGTATATTAGATAGCATATTACTATTTAGTATTCCATATGACTATGGAGTACGTGTTGATCTGAATATCACAGACAAAAGTATTTAAAACTAACCTAATTCAGAAGTAATCCAGTCTAAAATTCGATATACATTAACACAATAATCTAACATGACTTAAACCCAACTAGGCCTAACAACCTAATAAGTCCTGACCCGAACCCACCAAGTGACCTAAATTGACAGCTCGCTCTCATTCACAGTCCACGCAGTCACGCACCATGCATGTGAGAGTAGAGAAGCAAGCCTCTCAAACGGCTCAAAATGTAAAAAGAAAGAAACATA